ATTTTAATGTGAATAAATCATCTTTTATCGATTATTGAGAGAGTTAATTAAGAATATATAAAATAAAATAGCAAAAATGCAGTATTAATAAATAACATCGCTTAATATTTGTGTGTGCTTTTTTTTTAATTTGACTCTTTCTATCCTATGGGAGCATTAAAGAGAATTTTTTTAATCATACTAATCGTGGGTTCGTCTAGGACCACAATAGGCTGGATGGGAGGAAATGGAGTCCTGGGACAGACCACCCGAAAATTTCTGAGGGCGCAGGATAGATTCTGGTTTCCCAGAGAAGCTTAGCTTATCAATCAATACAGATTTATCCCTGAATCTGTTAGAATTACAAGCATAAATTCTCAAAATATATTTTAAGTGCAAGAATACTTTTTCTATTTCTTGTATGCGATTTTGTATCAGAATGGTACAGTTGAAAATTTTTCTTATCGATCTAATCTATAAATATTGATTATGTTTAGATAGATATTAAGAACTTAATTTACATTAACATATAAAAAAAATAAATAGTAAACTTTTCAATTGTTTTACTCATTTATATCATAAATTTACGAGAGATCTTTGATTTGATTTGAATAAACTTTGATTTATTTGAACGTTTTATTAAAGCAATAAGTTAAACTCCACAAATTGTTTCGTTAGAATAAAACAATGTAAAGAATTACAGTAATTCATTAAATAATTTTTTTTCTTAATTATAAATGGTTTATAATTAAAATAAACGATTATAACACAATTCTTCCATATACTCTCTTAATTTACCTGATTTTAATTTTGATATTGATGAAGAATTAATAGCTTCCTTCTTTTAAGTCATAAAAGGTCACTTAATAATTGATATAAAGAATAAATATTAATTCATTGATTTTTAATATAAATAATAGCAATAATAAAATTAATTATTTTCTGTAAATGTTCTCAGACAGAATACCAAATTAATTATAAGCGTATAGAAAAATATATGTATGAAATTAATAGTATAGTATATATAATTATAAACATAAAATATTGTTTATATTGTAAAATTAATGTTTTCAACTTAAATTCCACATTTTTCGAAATACAATATTGATTTATATCATTAAAAATACATAGTTTCTTCGAATATTTCAAGATTTTTCCCTTGCTTATTTAAAAAAGAATAATGGTTTTTAAATTTATATTATTTGTTAATAGGATAGTAAAGTATATTTAAATACAATTTCCAAAATCATTATTAGAAATAATGGTTTTATGACTTTCCTCTATGTTTATATCCTTTAATACCTTTCAAACGAGACTTTGTTCATTCAGTTTATCATTAAAAACAGCAATAAATTCTTTATTATATCATTATTAAATCATTATAACTAATGTGATTTATCAAATTAAAATATATAAACTCTATTATTAACTTCGAATTAATTTTATAAACAACAATACATCATTATCAAGTTAACTCTGTCTTCATTAATTTATTATGATATTCTGATGAAAATATTAAAAAAAATGATGATCAATAAATTTATAAATAATTAAATCATTCTTAAATTTATAAGTAATAATGTACGATTGATTTAGAAGGAAGATTTATCGAGATAATTAGTTTCTTCGTTGTAACTAAAATAGTCTTGTAAGCTTCTTGATCTTCTTCCCTATCTTTGTTACTATCTTCTCTTAGGAACTGAAATTATGCCAGATAATCGTTGTTGAACTAAAAATGCTTTTAAGTTCTGAGAAAAAAATATCCTTTATTATTTTGTTCTCATTTCTTAACTATGCATTTCAAGTTTCATCACTAACTGCGGTTAGATTGCATTTTGCGAAAATCTTTATGTGGCACGCAGAGCAATTATGGTGGGAGGTTTTCCTCTTCCCACTAATTCCATCTCTAAACACATTTTAAAATTGTTTCTCCGGGACAAAAACCTTTAGGATATCAATTTTAGAATAAATAAAATATTAATAAATCCGCATCTTAATAACTAATATTTATATTTAAACCTCCGGCCATGAAGAAACATTTAAATCCTTATGGTTTTTTAATATTGTACATGTTTGGAACTGACACAAATAGAATAAAAACTACTACGATGCGTAAACATAGCTATGAGGTAAGGAAATGCTCGAATGATCCCGATTTTTCCTGCAAATCTACGAATTTTTTCGGTTTTAAACTGCGTTAGAGGTTTTCTTCTAATCTAAAAAATAATACAATTTCTATCGAGCTTTCAGAATTATAGCCAATTTGCAAAGCTTAACGTCTTCAGAAAACATTAGAATTACCAGAACAAAATATAAAAGAAATTGTTCAACATATTCAAGTCATTTTTCATCATTAAATTATTATTTTTTAAAAATATTATTCGATTATAAATGACAAATATCCGGCGCCAGTTAGCTCCAACTCAATTCAACTGTTTTTTTGTAAGATATTTAACTGTATAATTTATTAGGTACTTCCTCGGATTTTGTTATAAAAATGGAAATTATGTAAAATTACTATGTTTCTACTAAAACAATGCAATTGATAAGTCAATTTAGGAAGCATTGTTCGTGAAAGTGTTCCATAAATAAAAGCAAACTGTCACGGCTCGTACAGCAATCTCTAGTTTTATAACAATATAGATTTTATTACGATAATATCGAGGCCTATTATTTGTTTCTTTTGACTTTTTTCTACTGATCGAAGATTGTTTTTTTATGCAACGTCCTTGCATTAAAAACTAATTCAATGGATATCTCTCGGAGGCAATCGAACGGATCAGTAGACAATTGGGTTACTTCTGCCACAGCCAAGTTATTATATTTATGATTGTTCTTCTATAATCTTAATCGAGTTTATTATAATAATAAACAGTTCTATAAGTGTAGAAAATGTAAGATAAATATTTCTAAACAAATTCTTTGAATGAAAAGATTTTTTTCTGGTCAAGATGACAAAGTTTGCACGCATGAGTAAAATTGATTTAAGGAAGGAAATATACATTAAAATCAATAAAAGTGTGAAAAATATAATTAATTAAAATGCCGGAAGGAAATGCAATGAAAATTCAGCTTTTTTGAGACATTAAATACTACAAACCGAAAGGAAAAATTTCGTTCTATATTAGAAAAAGCGTAGTCGGATAAAATTCACTTCGCTTTACGAATATAGAATTTTTCAGGCCAAATGCCCGGACAGACACCCCCCCCTAAACGCCCACAGAATAATGTCCTTCCATTAAAAACAGGAACAAAATGTGGGACTGTAATAGTGTGACCTCGTGCAAAGCAGTCTAAGTAGAGTAAAGCGGAATGCCGAGTCACGTTTTAATACGATCTTTGACCTCATCGATTATATTATAGGTTATTAACGATCATCTCTATTAATTCTATTGTTGTGAGGATTAGTTTAATAGAATGGAAATTCTTTTATTGAATTATTTTGAATAAGTTGAACTCTTTATTGTTTATGATGTGATGTTTATCACTAAGCGTGTTCTTTGCTCGCTTGTGGCACAATTTGGAGCACTTCAGTTACAAGATATAAAATTCACTCGGACCTTCTAATTAAGGCGGATTAAGGCATTTTTAGGTGATCGAGCCGATTAATCATTCTCTTTAGATCGTGTCGTGTCCTAGCCTACATAAGTTTTATCCCTTTACTTTTTCAAACGCCTACTACTTCACTGATATCGCTCTTTAGTGGACTCTGTTCTACAAGGTTACTTTTCAAGTGACTCTTCGACAAAACGGGTTGCTACAGATTAAAATAAAAAAAAATTGCTAATTTTCTGCGATCTTTCGGGATTTAAACTAAAAAGTCTGTAGGATTATAACCTTTTTATTTTTCTTTCTTTAGTTTCTGCATGTTTATGTCTGTGAATGATGAGGCACTAGTCTAGGAGAGTTAACAAAAAAAGAAAAATAAAATTGAAGGCAGTGGTGGGGCAAGTGGTTGATGGTAACACAGCTGCAGCAAGTAATGTCCTTGGGTGATCTTGTTTCATTTCTCTCTTGTAGGAACTAACACCAAACGCATATGCGTCCTGAGTTTTGCAACTGAATGCAGAGTTGCAAAGAATGGGGACACCAAGAACTTATAGGTCGCATGATGGCATTTTTACAGCATTCCTCAAGTGTACTAAACGTGGGGTAAGTGCAAGCGGAATGAAAAATAATTTCTTTTCTCTATTTTAAACAATTTCATTTGCTTCTTCCCCAAACTGTAAGATATAATAGAACTAATCGGAAAAAAATTCTAACGTTTATTTATATTAAGTGAAAAATTAATTTAAATTACATAAAAATATATTTAAGCAATTGAGCTTTAATTTTCTTTTTCTTTTTCATTTAGTTACTCAGAAGTCACCGTCCATCAGATATGAGAAACGAATCTGTCCCTTCCGAATTCCATCATCTAAATGGAGATGCTACTACTAAAGTACTAAAGTTTATTCTTAAAATAAAATAAATTTATATTAATTATAATATAATATAATATATAAAAATTTCAAATATAAATTTAGAATCATAAACAAGATGGAAAAGATGCTTCTCCTGGAAATATCGGAAAAAAAATGGAAAATGAAGTACAGTCAACGGAAGATCGTGTAAGTGAATTAATTTAAAATATATAAAATAAAATTTTATATATTTTATGCAAAATTGATTAACTTTATCAATGAATTTATTTATAAATTAATTACTACGAATTTATTTATTATATAATTGTAAATAAAATTATATAAATCTATTTTCTAAATTAAATCCTTTAAAAATCCTTAAAATATTAATTGAATTTTAGTGATTATAATCTGAAAAATACACATTTATTAAATTCTAAATTTGTCACAGATAGGATTATGTTTATAGAATATTATCGACATTGTCGCCTTTCTAATTCTTAATTTAATTAAGTAAAAAGTTTAACGTTATCAATTGACGTGTATAAATAAAGGAACCATTAATCTATATTTAAATAAATAGATATTCAGATTATACTCTTAAGATATTTTACAAGATGATATCTTTATGTTAAATTTGTTAGAAGTATCGGAATTTAATTATGATAAATTGCGTATAACATTAATTTTAAACGGGAAGGTTATATTTTTGAGTAAATCTTAGCGATAAGAGTCAGTATAACACGAAATTGTACCGCCTGAGTACCAGTCTGTACATTTCCTCTCATAAAAGTTATTATAAAAGGATCATTTTATCCTGTTAATCGTGTTTTACTCATGGAAGGAACGTTTTATGGATATGGGAGTTGTAAAACATTAAAACCTGCTCTTTACTGTTCAGATTTTTTTTTGTAAGGGAGTTATAAACAATCGGCTATAAAAATACAACGATTGAACACGTTTATTGAAATTCTACCATTGCTTTCTTTAATGGTTTTAGTTTACAATAATGCTCATTGACAATTTCCTATAGGAAGCATGCTATAAAAAATAGTCAAACTTCAGCATGTTTCTATATAAAATGAATTTATATATAATTGGAAGAAATTATATTTACATTAAAAATCGAAAAGTCAGTAATTTTTTTTTAAAATAAATTGATTTCTAAATACAAATTTTTACAATTTCTATGAATAAATTGAAAATCTCATTTTAAAAGTTAGCTCGAATTACTGTATATATATATCCTCTTTTAAATTTTTAAAAAAGTTAATTTATGAATATATTCAATATTTAGAAGTGAAAAACTACGTGTTTTAACATATAATTTTTTCTAAAATTTATTAATTAATAAATATTTATAAACAATTACTACGAAACGGTGTAAGTTCGATGGCACTTTAACACGTTTTGTTAAAAAATTAGAAAGATACCTTCGACCGAACACGTTCATGTTCTTGGAAGTTAAACTTATATCCGTGTTGGAAATTATGCGAAAAGTAGACAAGTTTGACCTTGAATAGGAAAACAATGCTTGGCTTTTTACCTCTACTTTTCTCATCTCGCATTTTCCACTTTCATTTTCTACAGATGATTTATAATGCTTTTTTTTATTCCAGTCGAATGTTATTAAAAGGTTGGAAGAAAGAGAAAGAGAAATCATGCGGTTAAAGGTATGATTTTTATTGTTAAGAATGTGTTCCTTAATGAAGATTTCTGACGGTGCTAATTTAAAGAATGATTCTACCTTACAGGAAGAGTTGGGAAGGCAAGAATTGGAGTTGAATAATCAAAAGGATCAATATAGCGATGCACTTAAAGATTTGTCGCTGGCGACAAAAGCTAAAGTAAGTTTTTGTTCATTTATATACAGCCAAACTTCGCCCTTCTAGATAGAGCCAACCTAGTGAATTATCTAGAATGAATATTCCTTTTAAATATTAAATTGAATACCCTTCAGTGTTAGTGAATTACTAAATATAAGATTTCTCATCTCGAATGACATTGATATCATCGAATTGACTTTCAAACTCTCAAATTCACATATAGATCTCGTTACGCCCCACACTCGCTTTAGTGCTAATTTTAGAGGCGGCGCTAAATCGAAGTTTGGCTGAAGTTTAATTTATTTAATCTATGAAGTTAGATAAACAATTAGGAATATTCAAAGGTATGAGAAAATGGAGATAATGTAATAATTATCTTTTAAATTATAACTAAAAACATGTACAGTACAGTACAATAGGGATTGGTATGCAAGTGGATAGATATAAGAAACATTATATATATATATATATAAAAGGATTAAAATTAAAATTTATTTTTCAGTGTGTGATCTGTTCACTATAGAAAGAAAATAATTATTTTTCTCTTTTTCCATGTTGACTATAACATAAGGTGTAATAAAAAATATAATTTTTGTATTGTTGTTCTAGGTTGCACTTCTTAAACTATGAAGGAATTTATAGAAATATGACTTTAATTTTAAAAAAATTATTAATTTTAATATATAAGTATTTTTAATATAAAAAAAGTTCTAGTCTCTAGTCCAAGAAAATAAAATAACAGAAACCAAAACATTTAAACGAATGATTTTTGTAATTATAAACTAATTATAAAATCATCTCATTTTCTTAGTAATGGGAGGATACAAAATTTCTGAAATTTAATTAAAGGCAGCGAAATTTAAGAAATGTGTATAATTATCTTATATTACAAATTTAGAATTTTTATTACTCATAAAAATACAATTTATTATAATTTTTAATGTTATAAAATAAAGAAAAGAATTTACTTTCATTAATTTTTTTTTATACTCTTACTGATAGAATTTTCTATCTTTTATATCAAATTCTGTAATTTTAAAAGTTTAAATTGAATTTACTAAAATAAAACTTTTTTACCCCTTTCTATACATTCTCTCGGAGCGATGACATAATTATAATGAAATTCTATATATCAGTTGATAGTTATCAATGGTCCGAACAAAGAAAAACTTTGTACCAACTTTATCAATCTTCTCACGATAATTAAATATTGTTACTCTTCTTAAAATAAAATGTTAATTTTTAAAGTAATTAATTTTAGAAATTTTTTTTATGACTATCTTCGATTCAAAATGGCTAGAATTACTTCTATTGTAATACCTAATTAATTAGAATGAATAAATAAAATTTGAGGAAAATTTTAATTTTAAAAGAATTGTTAAAATATAAATTTTAAAATAATTTACTTAAAATTTTTTAAGTATGACTTTTTTATAATAAATGTACAGTGCATTAGTTTAGAAACTAATTATAAAATCTAATATATTCACATGCTTTAATTAATTTTGATAGAAATTATATATAAATACTTTATGATATATTAAAAATACTTATAAGCATTAATTGAATAGCAGTTAATATTTTATACAAATTTATTTTTACAAATTTTTAATTCAAATAGAATTTTGTTTTAATTATAATAAAATTAAATGATCTAAATAACGGTAATTAAAATTTAGATTTATTATTCATGAATTTAAATTAGTTTTTTTTTCTTTTTAGTATTTAACATTATCCTTGGATTTTTGCATTTAAAATAATTTAACAGGTGTTTTTATTTTTTACAAATTTAATAAATTATTCAGAAAGTTATTTATGTTTCTTTACTTTATAAAAAAATGAGTCTAATTAATTTCAACATTTTACATGAATATTGATTAAAAGTAAAAATGCATAAATAGTTTTATTGACAAGAGATGTAGCAAAACTTCAGTTTTATATGCAAATTTTTCCATTTGTTTTGAATGTTAACTGTAAACTATCTGGATTTTTAACGTTCGAAACGACTAAACTAGTATCTTTTTAATTACTATAATTAAGGTGATGCTGAATATGCTAAGTTATCTTATTAAAGAAATAATAGGATCCTTCTAGAATTCCATAGTTAGATTCACATACTACAACTAGAAAAATTACTGTATTAAAAATCAACCAATCAACAGCCAAATTAATCGGACAGAAATATAATTTCTGCCCGATTAATTTGGCTGTTGATTGGTTGATTTTTAATACATCGGGTTCTTGGGGTGTTTATATACCGTATGGTAATTCAGTATCTCTCTACAGAATCTTTTGAATTAAAATACTAGCATTAATTCTTTTATACATTATATTCTCTCGAATAAATGAATAAACAAAATAGTAAAATGAAAAATATTTAGAATATTTTCTACATATTTAGTTATTATTATAAGAATCGTAAATTAATTGAGAATTTTGAGCTTAAATGGTTACTTCTGTATGTGTCAGAATTTCTCTCGTAATAAATTTGCAAAGTTAGATTGTTAGAAATGTCAGATGTCCCGGATTTTATTCTCAAGTATTTGGTAGCCCTAATAATGTTAATGATAAAATTAAAGACAGCATAACATACGATGTTATTCTTATACAGTATTGTCGATATTCTTTACTATTGAAAATTCTATAGGCTAAATATTCCACTATTTGTTCGTATTATTAAAATATTTTAAAAATGTTCTTCGATGTTTCTTTGAAATCCTTTCCAGAAACTTCTTTAAAATATAATGAATGCTTTTTATTCATTATTTTAAAAATTTTTATGGATAATATTTTTGTGATAATTATTCCAATATCATTTTATTATGAAGATCTTGTTATATTTATCCTATATAATCCATCCATTAATATACAGTAGTATTCTAAGATATTATAAGAATTAGTGCTTAAGTTTTACATGTTTAAGATTGAAATTATCTTCCATTTCCTAATTTGTCTGTTACTTTTACTAATTACAGTATTTTATAAGATAAATAATTAATAAAATTAGTTTAAAAATTAATTTCTTATTTTTATTACAGAATAATATGTGCATTCAGTTGGTAGAACAAGAGAAAAGAGTGGCCAGATTAGAGCAATGTTTATCCTTACCCGTAGCCACCAGGTTACAGGTAAAATAATTGTAATACTGTACTATGTTTAAGTTTCACAAAATAATCTTCATCATTTATCAATTTAATTTGCAGCAAAGACAAGAACTTCAAGTAGTTCGAGAAGCGATAGATAGCTTACGTTTGTGTTTTCCTTCCAATGATCCGCATCAGCATACTTTAGATACTATCGAACAAAGTATTGCCACGTTATGCGAAAGGGTAAATGCTATCGAAGCTTTTAAGGTATGTTTATATCCAAGTTATAGATCGTTGAAGTATATTAAACGATAGAATATAAATACATATAATTTTAAGAATATAATACTCGTGTTTAATTTGTTCACCGTATCTTATAGTGTGATACCTCTAGCATTCCTCCAATAGATGAAGCTAGTGGGTTTTCCAGTCCTGCAGAACAATCATTCACCGAGAGCACATGGCACCAACCAGTACCCCAATTAAGAGGTACTTTTATAAGTTTTCGTACCATTTTTCTTTTATATGATTCGAAATTTTACAGGAATGTTAACCTTTTTGTTTTTTAATTTTTAGCTACGAATCCTTCTTATTACAGAAGTCATAGAGAATCGAAACATCCTACAAAAGTTTTATATTTTATGTCTAGATCGACTACTCCTTTCCAGTGCAGTATTCATAAAAGGTAACTCTTCATTTTCCTCCTCCCTTTTTGTGGAAATAAAGTAAGTTTCTAAGTATAATTTTCATATTCTACCATTCCAGGTTAGGTGAAATTACTTTAAGGGATTTTAAAACTCTTTTCGATCGTCCCGGGCAATATCGTTTCCATTTTAAATCGTTAGATCCAATTTACGGTGCTGTTAAAGAAGAAGTAAGTTTCAGTTTTATCTACTTTCAATATATATATATATATATATATATATACTTACAGAAAATTTCGAATCTTTTATTATTTAATATAATTCTAAATATTTTATGGATTTTTAAAAATAATTTCCCGTAAGAATTTTTGATAAAAAAAATTATTATTCTTTAAAATAACAAAGTAGGAATTTAGATAAATTAAGTGGCGCCATCTGTTGTTTAAAATATAGAATAGATATCGACATATTTAAAAAAATTATTTCCATTATTTTCTAAATACATTGGAATACCATCAAAACCGAATATATAACGTGTCTTGTCTAGCGAATAAATAATGTAAATGTTGTTAATTTGTCACTTTGCGTGTGACGTGTGTCCACCTCTTTTTATCTACGTTCCTGTCGTTCAAAGTTGTTACACATCAGTTATCGAGACTAACAATAAAAACATTTAACGTTAAATGAAAAAAAATTCCGGAAATTTAGATCTTTTTTTCCCTTTATAAATTGAAAATTCTTTACTTATTATAAAGAAGAAAATAATAATTACTCCACTACAGTCGATAACTAACGTAGAGTCAACGATAAACTTTACAGACCTAATAAAACCTAATAAAATAATAGTAATAATAATAATAATAAAGGCCTTTCAAATATTAAGGCTCGAGTGGTTTGCCTTTCTGAGGCATATAGAAAGCTTTAAAAAAGGTATTATAGTTTTAAAACATGAAATAGGATTTTTTCCCTTCTTAACATACAAGAAATATAATTCAATAAATAATTTATGTGTTTGAGGCCATTTAAATATGAAGCTTGAGCCAAAAATCCCTGCTGGCCTCTGCTAGGAGAGAGCCTGATTATTGTTATAGTCAAACCCTCATATCTATAGAATAAGTCAATTTATTGTAATAATAGCAATAGCATAAGTGGCTTAATGTTAAAGGAAAGAAACACCATTAAGCTTATATTTTTTTAAATATTTTAATACTTTATTTTCACAATATTTATTGAATTTTATATTAGATTAATAATTTATATGATTATTTAAATTTTAGATCGTTCAAGATGATGATGTTTTACCAAGTTGGGATGGAAAAATTATAGCTTGGGTTGAAGAAGAAAACGGGTAAAATAATAAATAAATAAATAAAACATTTATCTGTAGAATAAGTCAAACAAAAATGGTGCTCAAGTTCTCCATACGTTAACACGCGATTAATTTGTTTATTTTTATTTGAGAAGAAACGAAAGGAGAGTGTTGTACATACTGTAAATCCAGTGCTGCAATGTCTTCCTATATATATTTTATATATATATATATATATACACACGAAAATATTTTTACTAACGTCAACCCGCGCCACCTAAAATGGTTCGAAAATATTGTTAAAATATTTTGTACATTTATTTGTTATATAAAAACAATACGTGGAATTTGTAAACTGTACATTGATGTGACGCTTGTATTGTTTGCTATTAAAATAATATAGTTTTATGAAGTCTTTTTTTAATTCTCATAATACATTTTCTTTTAATTTCGAAAATAAAATTTAAACAGAATTAATAAAAATTGATATTAAAGACTCTAAAACCCATAATTTTTGTATGAGTTTATTGTACAAAATAAACTTATAAAACTATAAAAATCACGTAAAGTATTCTTTACATTGTTCAGAATTCACAATGCTGATTTATTAAAATAAAACTATAGAGACAGAAGATTGTAAATTAAATTTTGTATAATTTATTAAGAATAATGTTTCGAATATTTAATATTTAGAGTATGTTAAATTACGTATTCTTTACATTAAGTTATTCAGCATTATTCTGAATAAATTGTATCATTTACATTAAATCCATCCTCCAAAAACTGTTATAATCTCTCTTATATAAGCTGATTTTTTTAAAATAAATTTATTTAAATTCGTTAAAATCAAAATAAATAAAATGCAAATACAGTAAATGTATTTTTGTATATTTAATATCAGAATTTTTTATCCTTTCAGTTTATTTTACTTTGTATAAAATGAAAAACTTATAAAAGGATTACACTTTGTATATTTTCTGAAAACATTTTTATGTTTCTTAAGCAAAAGTGATGATGGATAACCCAATTGATATACTGTATTAGAAAATGTCGATAGAAACTCGATCGATAGAATAAAAAATCCAGCAACGAGTTGCTTAACTTTCTCGTCAACATTTGGTAACACCATCTGTTATAATATTTTATTAAACATTTTTTATATTTTTAACTACAGTATTATGAAATAGCAAAAAGCTTAATTTTGAGAGTATTGATGGGTTTTATAAAAAAATTGCAAATGCTAATAACGAGTAAAATCGTCATTCAGTCATACCTGCTAGAGATACACACGATTCCCATTACTGTATCTCCTAACCCCATCGACCTTTAACCACCAAAATTTATTAGCATCAATCTCCCTAATACACAAACCTTCTTGCAAAATTTCATAAATTTTCGACAAAAAGCACAGTAGTTATTAAGCTTCAAACAGGGTGAACAAAATCGTGCTTCCCACACATAAACTAACATCCATACATACAGAAATTACCTCCGAATTGTTTTACATTTCTCAACGTTTCAAGATATCTCCAGTTCAAAAATGTAAAAACCTTGGGAAAATCATTTTTTGACCGATCGCCATACTTTCCGTCTGTTACATATAACAGCCGAAAAAGTAAAAATACAGTACTTATATAAATTCCGTATAAACTAGAGAATTTAAAAAATTTATTAAAATACATAATCTATATATACAGATATAAATGAGAATGTTTGTTTATTTGTTCGCTATATATTCCTAGGCCATTTGACTAATTGCTACGAAACTAGGCAATTACGTTCGTATATTTCTAACTTAGATAATGTCGTATATCCGACTCCAAAATATCAATTGGAATTTTATAAATTAATTTATATCTACATTCGATTTGCTGGCTTTACAGGTAGCAACATCTATTGGCAAAAAATCTAAGAAAATAATAAACTAAATATAATTCTTACAAAAAAGGGTATCATTTTAAAAACTATATATTATATTCACTTAATTACTGCGACAATGATATAGCGCGAAATACTGAAATAGCTCTTCATCATTACTGCAACAGATAGCATACAGCACTTGCCTGCATGGAATCGAAAGTGTTATCCTGTGACAAGTCTATAAGTACAGTATTTAATTTTCCACATCTAACAACTCTGGTTTTTTTTTCATTTCTGAACGGTACTTTCTTAATTCTAATAAGTGTCCTCCAGTTTCCGAGTGGATAAAACCACCAAACACCGATAGTTAGTTAGTCGTGGGTTTGGGCCTGTCCAATAGGCTAGCAGCGTGGAGTTTCTGAGTTTTCTTCACGTTAGTAACACCAAAATAGGGTCCAGCTTCCCATTAAAGCCTTTCTGGGATGCATCCCCCGAGACAGATTGCTCACGTGCCACATTGTCCTAACTAAACTAATTCTAAAGAGCGATTATTTATTGTGACAGCGTCACAATGCCGGGCTGCAATATTTCGTCACAAAGTTCTTTTTTTTTCGTAGTGTCTTGCCCCTGTACAGCATACTTTTCCTGTTAGCAATAGGGCCATGCCGGTTATTTATCTAATTGCGTTCAGGGGAAAATTTTGAATTGAAGTAACTTGACTTTCGGTCCAAATCGGAAGTTAGTATATAGTTAATCCAGGCCATGTCTGGAGTTAGATAGATGAAAGTCGAGACCATGTCTGCAATGGATAAATTTTCGAATTGGACAAGGACAGATTGAGTCATCGGCCGAGAATGAATAGCTACTACTTCGGAGGTCAAAGTGACAAGAGATTGCATATATAAACGGATAGAAGAAGAAAGCACTTACTTCACTTTGTTACTTGTTACTTGTTGCTGAGACGTCTGCTAGTGCGAAGCAAGGGAAAAGGAATTGAAACCCCAGAATAGACTGAACATTGAGGTACGGACGAGTGTCAACGACTTTAGACTTTGTACTCAGCTAATATCCCCGTTAGCAATAACAATGTCTGATCTCGACTTCCATCTATCTAACTCCTTTCTCGAGATTAAGGAAAGATAGACAGACAAATAATCAGGCAAACGGCAGTTGGAATTTAAGGAATTCAGATTGTCGTTCGCCTGTCTGCCTGATTGTCCTTCCTTTTTAAGTACAATTTTTTTTTTTACAATTACAAATTAAATTACAATTTTTTCAAATTGCAACACAATAATTTTTCTATAAACGCGATATTTACGAGAATATGCTTCTCACGTAGTTTATACAATCTGTTGCAAAAATATAAACGCTTTATTATCACATAAAACAATTATTCTGGAATTTTTGCAAGATTCTTTTTTATTTAAACAAGTCATATGAACTTCGGTTAAGAATAAGGTTAGCAACTACGATTATTTGAGAGGCCATCACAACCTATCCAACACAGATCACTTTTCAAATATTAATAGTAGACCAATATTAATTAGTAATCATTGGCCATTCTGTCTTTCAGGAGGTCAGTGACTACTTTTGGTCGAATTACTTCAACCCCCTTCCTTAATTGTCCCTTCTTTCTATCAGACCAGTTGTATGATGGCATTTGAATAGGAAAATTACATAATACAAGGTTACCAGCCTGCACAAAATATGTTTTAAGTGGTTTTCGAGGGTGACGCGTTTAAATATTTGGTTCGTTTTTCGCGAAATTTGATTCGTTAATAGATTACCATTTGATATTCGACTATGGATGTTACAGCTTCTTAGAATTAACATTAAGAAAAAATATGATGTCTTAAAAAATTTACATTTAAAATCAATTGTCTACTTGACCAAGGAAATTGTGCCATTTCATACCATCCGAGTATCGCCATAAGCATGTCAATGGTAGGCTGAAATAACCAAACTCTTTATAAGGTTTTCGTTTTATGTTTCTTATATCATAGTATTTGATTTATATAACTACCAAGGTTATCTTACATAAGTGTTTATCACAGCGAGTGACCAATCTAACACATTTTAAAAATTCTTTATTCCTTTTACTGTACACAATTTCAATAATTTTTAAAATGTGTTAGATTGGTCATTCGCTGTGATAAACACTTACATAAGATAACCTTTGTAGTTATACAAATCAAATACAGAACTATAATTTAATATAATAGAAGGGTTAGAAGTACGAAATAACGTAATAATATTAATTCTTGCTGTTGATATATTTTGCCCAGGCAACGCCATGCTCATCTGCTAATATAATATATATAAGAAAATTTTTAAAACGATGTGAATAATATAAACTCTGCTGTATATTTTTAGTCATGAATAATTTCAGTTTACTTATTTGTATAATAATTGGATTCGTTTTAATATCCAGTAATTAATTTTATGTAAATACGTAAATGTTCTACTATTAAATAATATAAATGGATTCATGTTGATGTGAAATCGAAACTACCATACAATAGAAGGAAAACTTTCTGAAATATAACATGCATATTTGATTATATTCTGATAAAATTATTATTTAATTTCTATTTTATTCAACAGTAATATATAAAAGAGATAGTGTAATTTTATTTTATTTTAATTTTTTTTTTTTTTTTTTTATAAGACAGAATATTTTAAGAGTCAAGAGATACAAATGCAAAAGTTTCATTCGAATCTATTCTATTTTCTATTCTAAAAATATCCGTTTTATTCTTATTATTATCTATGAATTATATATTATAGCTCTGTTTTTTTTTTCTTTTTTTCTAAACTCGACAATAATAAAGAAAATTTCTCGATAGATTTGATTCATTTCGAAAATCATGCTAAAAATTTGTGAAAGTAAAATTTATTCAATGAAATATTACCATTTTATAATTACGTCTCATTTTAGTGAGACAAAAGGGGGTTACTTTATCAGTTTACATCTATTTACACACTTTATCGTCATTCTTAGAAGCATTCACACGGTATTTAATTCAATTTCCATTGTTTGACCCCTCGTTACATATAACAACAAGAAAACCAACGTCTAACTGTTTCAAATTGTTAATCTTATTCAGAATAAACTGTTTCTCCCTAAGAGTAGGCCAAGCTATTCACGTGATAAGAATTTTTTCTGTAGTCAAGTGAGTCGGGATTAAAAGCTATCATCTTTCCTGGATTGTTAGAATCAAGGCTTCGATCCCATTCTTGATCTATTTCATTACGGATCAGACTCTGCTGATTTAATTCAATATTCTTCTAAATAATATACTTTATAAGTGAAAATCCTGCGCCCTATAGGACACATGTTGCCTTTTGTACTTTCTAATGCAGCCTGATAACAATATAAAATGACACAAGTTTAACTCCTGTCATGAATTTTGAGTTATGAAAATATGATTTCTATACTTTTTCAGTAAAAACATTTATGTTTATTTTCCTTTTACTTATATCGAATTCACACACATATGCAAACTGTTACACAACACACAGCCTTATGAGGTTACTGTACTTCGAAATGAGATAAGGTTCCCCCCTTCAACTTAGTTGACAATTTTTTAAAATTGTAGAAAATTAAGATTGATTAGATAGCCCATAATCTGATTCTTTCTCAATTTTCATATCGTAAAATGCTTAAAATCTTAATACTAATCCACTTCGAAACATTGTAATTATAACAAAATTCAAGATATAATACAATAAAATCAATACATACATTGAAGCTACTCTACGGATTCTATTTAAAAAGTATTTATAAAGTTTAGTTCTGAATTTTAATATTATTTTATATTCTATTATCTACTATATAATATAATAGTTAAATTAGAAATGCGTAACTTTTAATGTTAACATAATCGTTAACGATGATGTGACAAAATACAGAGAGTAATCCATGTGTTCGTATGCGTTGTGTCAACATCAGTGATGAAAGTATATGTTGTCGATTATTAATTCAATTGTTCCTAAACTAGCTAAAAAATTAGTTTAAAATAATTTATAAAGTTATTTTAAATTACAAAATTCAAAATAAATCTTTAATGGCTAATTTTGCAAAGTTCATTCTCTTTGTGTATCAAATATATAGGCCTATGAGCAAAGTCTGTATAATGATTCATATTCACATTAAATAATATAAAATTTTGAAACATCTCTAAAACTGTTAAAAATAATTACGTAAATAATATACATATTTTTTAAGCGAGCAACCATAAACGGGAATATTTCTTGTTTATAAACATTTTAATAAATTCTTAAAATTAAGTTGGGTTATTTATAAATGTATTTACGTATTTTAGAATTATCAATATTAATATATTAATATATATATATTTAATTTTATAAAAATCTCAATTAATATACAAACATTATTATATACATTTCAAAACATGATGTAGTATCATATAAAAATTATTTTAATTCTTTTATTTCCTAATTTATAATGCTCATTTAAAAAGTTTTACAAAGTATTATTTGTTATTCTAACTTTCACTCGTATACATTGTAAGAATTAGAAGGATTAAGTAGAACAAAAATCAGAAATTATAGGCCTATGAAAAACCTGACAATTCTAACACTAAAAATATTCGAATTAATGAAAATTATATTTATTTTCTACATTACTAGTTACAATATTTTATTTATTGTGTTTTGATTATTAATTCATTTGATCATAATTCATTAATTTATTCATGAAATTCATTTAAAAAAATGTAGAGAATCAAGATCAGCATACCGGAGTTTTGGAGGTTCAACCCCCATTCGAAAAGAATTAAAAAAACTAAATATAAAAATCATACAAAATTAAAACGTCTATATACTTATATTATACTCCTAGTGTATATTATAGTCCTATATTATATATATATATATAGTGAGGGCTATGCAGAGCTTCTATAGAATTCGAGAGAAAAGCCTCCTTATTTTTTTCAGAATTGCTTAAACTCTGTATGGGGTCATATATTACCCCAGTATAATTATACTTTAAGAATTTTTATGCATTTAAAAAACACACTATATATGGAAATACTTTATTTATGACTGTTTTATTTTCATAAAATGTATTGAAAAGTCTTTAAGAAACGAAAACTAACTAACAGCAACTTGTCTTTTAGAATTCTTACTTGAAATGTCATCAGACGCTAAAATCCATTTGTACTCACCTTATTTGTTATGGCATTTGTTCTTTTTTGTGGATTTCTCATTATTCTTTTCCTGGCTCTGCCATTTTCTTAGCAAGGTCTAATATTAATAGAAACCGCTTTCGTACTCCAATTTTTTAACATGTGAAAGGGCTATGTTCCTGTATAGTGCTTGAACATTAACAACTGTCATATCTACAATGTAATAAAATACAGCAAGAGGCCATCTTTTGTCGTACCAAATGTCAAAGTAACGCAATTTAGCCCAAAAATCAAATGGAAATGATATAGCTCGATTATATTCACAAAATTCGCTGTTGTTCGATACCGAATAAACATTAAAAAATTGCGAAAGCTCCAATCGTAGAGACACCTTAAGGAAATTAGAAAGTATAGAAAAGGATATAATTAAAATTTGAACTCAGAAATATATAGTGTTCTAAGGGGTCTTTTCTAATCTCACACCATGAATGCTGTACAGTATTTATTAAGTATATTTCACCATTTAAAATGTGTTTAATCTTTATTAAAACACGAAAATTTCCAGAAGAGCATAGCTATAAGATGAAGAATTTATAAATAGCACAGCCATACTCTTATTAATTTACTTTATATGACTTACAGGGTCGGGAACGACCCGAAACAGACTACAAGAGTTAATATCGTGTTCCCTTCGTTATTATTATGCTTATTTAATGAAAAAGTGTTCAAATTTATTAGAAACTGTAGGAGTTAACTTAAAAAAAAATTATTTTATCCTTCTTAAAATAACAAAAATCAATAAAAAAAATTTCTTAGCTGATGATATCAAATTACTTAATAGCTACGTTGTTCAAATTTTAAATATATTTCGGGTATAATATGTTAAAATTTAACTTTATACACGAAAATAATATAAATTATAATGCCATGTTATCATTTTCGAACAACAAAATTATTATTTTTAACACATTAATTCTAAATTTATTAAAAGTAAGCATTATGTTCAAAATTTCTAAAATTTTGCCTTGTATTTTTTGTAAATTATGAGGAGCGAAGTAAAGTGAGATGTATATAAAAAATGTGAGAGTTCATCTCCGAAATTTATAAAAAATATATAATTAAAATTAATAAACCGAATAAAAATTGGTATTTTAAAATCATTTATCAAAAGAAACTTCATCAATTTTATATTTTTTTCACATAAAAGACTACACTTTGAAGACTTTTATAAGTCCAAATAGCTCTATAATTTATAGATTTACATTCATACTTTAATTTGAATATAAACTAAATATTATTTATTTAATACTTTTTCTTAAATCTTATCATTTTATACGTATTAAACTCGTACAACAAAATCAAAATTATTATAATAGTGTAAATTTAATCTTTTTATAACATATTCTATGTAATAACTATTCAATTTTAAAGACGAACTATTTTAATTCATATGGAATTAATAATTAAACTTTATTAACTTACATTTATTATAAATAATAATTTTAAATCAAAGTTATGTGATTTTAAAATAAAAGATTTAATAATTTAAAAACAGTTCATACGAAAAATATATATTGAGACTGAGTCTATGTAAGAAAGTTAAATAAATTATTAAATGATATATTTGATAAGAATAATTGAAATAAAACAGAAAATTATTTATATTTTCGTTATGGCCTGCTTCGTTTTTTTAAAAAATTATATGTATATGATATAGAATTATATATATACAGGGTGATTAAAAAGTTACTGTGTACCCGAATTGTATCATTTATATAATGTACAAAGTGACTTTTTGATTATTCTATGTATACAATATTAATGTATATGTAATATAATTATTTTTAATTTCGAAGAGATCAGTTTTTTAAATTCGGATTAACAAATAAGGACTTTTTTTCAAGTCTAATTTGCATAACACTTGGTTCGGAGTCGAGTTAGATATGAAATTGTTTTATTTTTTTTAACTGTACATATGCAAAACCACTCGCTTCTGTTTCCAATTGGTTTGGCTTCACTGTCTGTTCCCACACACCTGCGGCAACAGCGACCTCACTGGAACCAATGCCGAACTAATTAGAACAGAGCACCGCTCATTCTCCTAAGAGCAACAAGTTGCGAAAAATCATGCTGGAACCCAGTCTGATGGAAAGCGATTCTGGAGAGTCCAAATCATCTAACATCTCCGTTATAAAAGATAATATAGAATCGGATCAAGATTCAACTAGTGGAAATATATTCAATATAAAATGTGAACCGGAGCATAAAAAACCCTGTCTGGAATTAAAATCCCCAGAAGATAGATCTCCGGCAAGTACATTTACAGAACTGAAAAGTGAATGGTTATCAGCTACTTCAAATTCCGACTACATACCTTATCCTATGGAACAATATCATCCTATTCTACTTCCATCTTATGACAATCCTCCACCTTATCAGATTAAAGAAGAATACGAAGAATACTTACCGCCTTGCTACAATAGACCGTCTACCGATGGCATGATGAACGTCATTCATATGAATCCCATGCAGTCCGATTATAAACAACCTCTTTCTTTAGCAGGCTGTTATCCTAATAAATTTCCTACAGTTTCGACGTCTGGTCAACCTACAACTTCTTCTGGATGTATTTCATATAACATACGCCCAGAAAGGTGCCATCGAGAAGGAGCCATCGCCAGAACGAGATGTACGTTTCCCGTATACATTAAACAGGAAAAGTTTGTTCTGTACCTTTTCGTTTCAAAGCTCGCGGAATTAACTATCGGATATTACTTTGTATTGAGGAACCTGTGGAAGGTATCATCACACTTGTGGATATGACTTGAGTGAATATTATAGTACATATTATATTAAATGGTTCCATCTGCCTTGGCAGCTGTCTCTACAGCTGCTGACCAGTTGCGTTGCTCCGAAAAATGTCCGAAACAAAGCATTTTCTATCTGTTTACTATTTAGAAATTAATAGTTGTATTTAGAACATCGCACCAAACAGTCCGCTCCTAATTTTATTTTATCCTCTTCAAACGGTAAGACATCCAAAAATGATTTGTCTAGCTGACAGGATTTAAAATCGAAAATGGTATGCGGTTTCGGATGAGATTTTTAAACATAATTTCGAATAATTTAATCAAAGGACTAGATTTAGTGGTAAAAACATCCGAATTAGCGATGCTGGGTATCTAAATTAATTTTGTGACCTTCATTTTAAAAAAATAGAATATTTAATCACGATTAATTTTAATTTTATATTTGCATCATTTGGTGTAATTTAGTTGAGAATTATCTAACTCGTTAATATTTTCTTCTGTAAAAGTCAAAAACAGAGATGAGGAAGAAAACTTTATTACTTTGAGTTTGGAAGAAAATATTTTGTCTTTTTTTCATAAAAGATGGAAAAGTTTCTGAATTTATCACTATTCAAAATACTTTCCAGAGTTAAGAAAACTGATTTTTAAACTTGTAAAACATTTGAACGATGTAAAACAAGAAATGAAAAAAATCTTAAAATTTATCATTTCATTTTTTAAAATAATTTATTTCTAAAATTCTAAAATTTTAATTTATATGTTTTTAGGTAGAAATTCGGGTACAATGACCAGAGAAGAACAAAAAAGAAGCGCTTGCGATAGAGAAAGAAGCCGAATGAGGGATATGAACAGAGCTTTTGACTTGTTAAGAGAAAAGTTGCCTTGTTGTAAACCTCCGGGGAAAAAACTTTCTAAAATTGAATCTCTGAGGTAAGTGTACACAAATATAAAGATTGTTAATTTCATAATATCGGTTGTTCTATATTAGAGGTCAATGTATTCTATTAATTCCATACACATCCGATGGATCAAGTAAAACTCTTGGAGTGTGAAAACAATAGTGATTAGATATGTCCATCTGCTTCCATATACGAAAAATAAACATCTGTTTATTTTTTAATTGCCAGTTAAACTTTATTTTCTTTATTAATTTATTTTTGTTTCATAAAGAACCTAACATTATAAGTACTGTACTGTACATTATGAATATTCTTGAATTGAAAAACGCATGTTTATAATTATAATTAAGTTATAACAACGGTTAATGTAAGTNTATAAACTAATTTAGTTGATAACTATGATAATTTTTACTTTATTCTGAAAGTACAGATTGAGAATGATATAACTTAATATAAAGAAACGAGCAATTATTTGTTGTGACATCATTACAAATGCTTGATTGCAATTTTTAATCATATTTCTAATAATTTTTTAAATTTAAACAATATGCTCTTTATCTCAAATTAGTAGTGTCTTGTCCCTGTACATTATACTTTTTCATTGGCAATGAAGTCACGCCAGTCATCTAACTCCTTTCAGGGGAAATTTTTGAATTGAAATAACACGACTTTCAGTTTGCATCGGATGTTCGTACACAATTAATTGGGGCGTCCTGTCCCTAATCTTTCTACATCTGGTTTGACTTTTAAGTATCTAACTCCTTTCTCGAGAGTAAGGAAGGACAGACAGATGGACAGACGGATGGACGACGTAGGTCTACAATTTTTTCAAATTGCAACCCAATAAGTAGATAGATCTATTAGTAAAACGTATGAGTTAAGTAATATTTTTCTCTTCAATAATATTTCTATAATAGAATTTTCAATAATAAAATATTGAAGAATAAAAATTCAATATACTGTAGTTTACTATATATATTCAACATCATCGATCATACATTTTTATATTATAAAAATTTTAAATTAATGATATTATATTGAAAAGAAATAGTCATCATATTACACTCCCTAGGACATTTTATATATTTAATCTAATAATCTATCATTGAAAAATGATTAATTATATTACATGAGATTCTCACTTTGATTATTTTGATTATTGGATACAAATGACCTAACTGCTTGAAAATCGCAGTTACATCATTAATATCTTTCGTAAAACATATAAATCTGTCTATATTCTTTGCAATATATATACTTTTTTGTTAAAAAAAAATGATTTAAATACTGTTATAAATTATGTAACAGGAAGATAATAGAACTCACTACTATAAGTGACTTAATATAATTTTCTTAAAATATAAATTACGAGATGTTTCGACTTATTGTTCGTATCTTTTTCAAAATTTTTTATCCAAGATTAAAGTTGACGACGATTGAAGTTTTATTTGTAATTTATCGATTTTATCAATAGAGTAAAAATTAAAAGAATGTATGAATAGATATTGTAAACTTAATTAATTATTGTTAATTAATGGCACTATAGTCTGGAGAAATGGAATATTATTTAAAGTTTAATCTAAAATATATGAAATAAATTTTTTAAAATTTAAAAATAAAATGTGTCTTAATGAATTTATACATTTAATAAACTAAATTGTAAGTAAACTTTCAGAGTTAATAGGAAAACTAATGGTCTTTCCTCTTGAATGACAAGTTTTCTCATTTGTATTTATTAATATTAATAAATTAAACGAACTATGTTCAGTCTGAATGCTTTGATATAACATAATCTAACGTAAAAAAGATGATGATAACTAATATTATGTATCACATATATGTTGCGTAATAATAGATAACATTATTACAGTAATTATATATGATAAATAAATTAGATTTAGCCTATTTAAATTAGTTAAACGTCCATTCTCTTCGTATTCTTCGACATTTTGTTAGAAAACTACTTCGTAAAAAGAAAATGGAGAACAATTATAATTTTAATATGAATTGTTTGTCTTTTTAAAATGTTTATTATTATAAAGCGAATTATAAATACAATTACATATTGGAATTATTTCATTATAAAAATTATCTTTATCTTCTGAATCAATATATCATTCAAAAAATGATAATCATTCTGTATTATTGTGTAAAGGTTAATTTCTGTTACATAGGGGATAAAATACAATATTTATACGACAATTATTAGTTATAAAAGTATCATTACAACAATTTCTTATACGTTTCTATATAAAGAAAAATAAGACTACATTAGTCTCGAACAATTAACATTTTTGAACTAATTATCTATTTGTTTATTCAGTTATAAGAAGAAGAAATCTTTCTCGTTACCTGGAGATTAGAATATTAACATACTTAACAATTGTCAAAAAGAATATAATAATCATAATCTTATATAAGTTTTTTTTTACCGTACAACAAACTATTTACCGTAAATTATATATTNGAAAAAAATGAATTAAAATATTTCTTTGGCTGAAAATTTAAATCTTATAGTGAAATAAAAGTTTCATAAAGTCTCATAATACAGAAAATAAATATAAAAAATTCAAAGTAAAAAAGAATTTTTTGGAATGAGTCATGCTATCAAATGTGATTCATTCCAAAAAAGGAGTTTTCTATCCTCGGTGTCTATCATTAAAAAAAAAAAGACTCGGAAATGGAAGTCATTAAATTATTTAATAACTGTTTCACATCGCTATTACATTAATACAGTACACCAAATGAAAATTTTTTGATATATAAAGATAAGTTTTGGCGCTTTACGGTTGACGTAATTATTCATTAATTCTCGAAGGGTTAATATCGTCCAAACTATATGACTAATGGTGATATAAACGTATCGTCATCTAACAAATTTCTAATAATTGCTCAAATACTTTTTAGATAATTTAAGAAAAATATTCTTTATAATATTTGCTAAATTGCCGTATTTTCCCTTCAGTTTTGTATTTTACATTTACATTTCATTAACTGCTGTTGCATTTTTTTTACAGTAGATAAAACCATAAAACCAGCGGTTTCATCTCCTACAAATAATAAAAACTCAAAGTTAGAACTAAAGTATATAAAACGGATGGCCAAATGGCCGATCGATTAATTAAGGTGTCAGTCTACCGTTCTGAGGATCCGAAATCGAAATCTTCAGACACCCCAAGAATTTTTCGGAATGGTCCATGCCGAGCACCGTCTCTCACCACATAACCACCTCATTGTAGGCCTAGTCGAACCTATAATGGGCTTGCTTTAAAAAATTCTTAGTGTCCACACAGGCGCAAAGAGTTAAAAAGTACAAGAACAAGTAGAGCCAATACAATAACAATATAAAAATGGTAAAAACATAATATAGATATAAAAGTAATTATTTAAATATAAACAACTTTTATACTATACTAAAAGTATTTTAAAAATATTAAGGTAAAGTGCATTTTTAAGACAATTCCCACACTTTCATAGTGCTTGCAATACGATTAAAAAAATCACAATGTAAAGACAAGTTATAAGTACAGTACTTCCAATAGGAATTCGAAGATGCACCCACTCTTACAGAATATAACTATTAAAATGTATTTTTTACATGTAATCAGTAATCAAAATATTTAATTCTTTCATTTAAGATAGAAAATTCTAGTTTATGATCGGGCAACATTTGGGAATCAGAAAAGGAAGAAATTTGTTTACAATCAGTAAACAAATTTCTTCCTTTTCTGATTTCCTAACAATACGTTACTGATTTTGGTATTAACCTGATCCCGGTCATCTAAAATTCCTCCAAACTTTGAAATTCTCCACTGTAATTCTAGCATTTTGTTTTTCTTTTTGATGAAAAGAACTTTTATTGTTTAATTAAGCGAGACTTTAAGTCTCTCTTTGTTTTAATTTCGAAAGCTTAACTGTCCCGCCGGATATTCGTCATCAAAAACATAAAATTTCGAATTTCGTCAGGAACCGCACAAACTTTAAGTAAAAAAATCAGATTCAGAACTACAATGGCAGAAAGTGGTTCGGCACAACCAGGGCCTGGAACCAATAGTCTCTGGTTCTGCCGAAATTCGCCATCAAAACAATGATTTTAATGCGTAGATATTTTCTTTAGTCAAAGATTAAAGGCTTTTATTGGAGGGTACAAATCTCTTTCTTTGAGGCGGGGATAGGGTTGGAATTTCGAAGCACGGTTCGAAGTGAAATTGTTCCGCCTCTAAAGAGAATTCTTTTCAAATATATCATGGATTCAGCCAAACCGACAACATGAGCGGTGAGTGATGTATAGTCTGATATATATAGGCCTATATGAAGCAATTGATTCATTACAATTTTTGAATTGACTTAGATTCTAACTCGATCCTAGAATAGCAGAATACCGCTTTTACAGCCTCGTCCATTCAACCACCGTGAATCTATTTATTATACAGTTTTAATTATCATAGCTTATGTATAAACTATCAAGACAAACATATGTAGAAAATTTTAAATGTCACTTAAAATTAGACTTAGATAAATCAGTTAGATAAAATTTAACAGTCATAATAGGAAGAATGAAACTAGTTACACAATAGTTATGATAACGAAAATTAACAGACTTTGTTAACATTTACAATATATAATTAGCTTCAAATTATTTGCTATTATTGAGTCATGCAAGTAAAAAGATTGAAATTTCATTTAAATTCGTTTTTATTTTAATAGTCTACCAGAATAACTAATTAATTTATAATTCATTTATAAATTACAATTATTAACAAAATATGCCATTTCTATATGTTTAACTATTAATATTGAAGAAAATGACATTACAATTTCAGAAATCTAGAAAAAAAGAAAAAAATGAATTAAAATATTTCTTTGGCTGAAAATTTAAATCTTATAGTGAAATAAAAGTTTCATAAAGTCTCATAATACAGAAAATAAATATAAAAAATTCAAAGTAAAAAAGAATTTTTTGGAATGAGTCATGCTATCAAATGTGATTCATTCCAAAAAAGGAGTTTTCTATCCTCGCTGTCTATCATAAAGAAAAAAAAGACTCGGAAATGGAAGTCATTAAATTATTTAATAACTGTTTCACATCGCTATTACATTAATACAGTACACCAAATGAAAATTTTTTGATATATAAAGATAAGTTTTGGCGCTTTACGGTTGACGTAATTATTCATTAATTCTCGAAGGGTTAATATCGTCCAAACTATATGACTAATGGTGATATAAACGTATCGTCATCTAACAAATTTCTAATAATTGCTCAAATACTTTTTAGATAATTTAAGAAAAATATTCTTTATAATATTTGCTAAATTGCCGTATTTTCCCTTCAGTTTTGTATTTTACATTTACATTTCATTAACTGCTGTTGCATTTTTACCTTTTTTTCTTTATGTTTTCTTCAACGCATCTAATTTATTTCTTTTCATTTTTGTATTTCTTAAATTTCATTACTTTTTTAAAAAAATATTTTACATTTGATATTTTAGTATTCATTTGCTAATATCTTTCTTGGATTACAGGAAAGTAAAATTCTTGTTTCTGTCTATTTATATTTAAAAAGCTGCTTTAATGCTTCAACTGTCAAATCTTAAATTTTCTTCCTTATTGTTTAATTAATAAATTATTTTTCTAAACAATCTTTCATTATTCACAATAATATTAAGATGTTTTTAAAANTATTTTTGAATTCTTAACAAATAAATGACATTATTTTTATTCTATTTTATTTTTTGTCTGACAGAATTGGCTGAATTTTGAAGAAGTATTTAATAATAACATTTATAAAATTAAACTTTTAAAATAAAATACTAATTATATAATCAAATTAAATATTATAATGACAAGTTTTCTCATTTGTATTTATTAATATTAATAAATTAAACGAACTATGTTCAGTCTGAATGCTTTGATATAACATAATCTAACGTAAAAAAGATGATGATAACTAATATTATGTATCACATATATGTTGCGTAATAATAGATAACATTATTACAGTAATTATATATGATAAATAAATTAGATTTAGCCTATTTAAATTAGTTAAACGTCCATTCTCTTCGTATTCTTCGACATTTTGTTAGAAAACTACTTCGTAAAAAGAAAATGGAGAACAATTATAATTTTAATATGAATTGTTTGTCTTTTTAAAATGTTTATTATTATAAAGCGAATTATAAATACAATTACATATTGGAATTATTTCATTATAAAAATTATCTTTATCTTCTGAATCAATATATCATTCAAAAAATGATAATCATTCTGTATTATTGTGTAAAGGTTAATTTCTGTTACATAGGGGATAAAATACAATATTTATACGACAATTATTAGTTATAAAAGTATCATTACAACAATTTCTTATACGTTTCTATATAAAGAAAAATAAGACTACATTAGTCTCGAACAATTAACATTTTTGAACTAATTATCTATTTGTTTATTCAGTTATAAGAAGAAGAAATCTTTCTCGTTACCTGGAGATTAGAATATTAACATACTTAACAATTGTCAAAAAGAATATAATAATCATAATCTTATATAAGTTTTTTTTTACCGTACAACAAACTATTTACCGTAAATTATATATTAAATATAATTTTACTATATAGTAAACTATTTATATATATAGTAAGCTATATATTTTACTATATAGTATATATTTACTCTTATATTTAGTTAATAAGAGATGAATATAAAATATAGCAAATATAACTGATGGGAATCTTTTTTTTTTTTTTAATTGTAATTTAAAAGCTTTGTGAGATCTCTTTAAAAAGGGATTTTATTACATGTTGCATAAGTATATATGCACAAAAATATACATATTTTATATTTAGATAAATGTCTTTATCGAAGAAAGAACAGAAAACATACTTCCGTTACTCAAAATTTATGATAGTAAAATTGAGTTTACACCATTTTATATTTAGGCTAGCAGATTATACTAGAAGCTTCTGGTTTCTCACCTCTGCATAAAAAAGTTTTAAGTATAAAGTTTCTTTTACTCGACCATGGAAAAAACAAAAAATGCATTTACATTTTATCATAAATATACAAAATCATTAATTTATATTATATCTCCATTTTAAGAATATTTAAAATAATTTAAAAATTATATAAGCCTCAATATCTCATGATTTTTAAATTTGAAAATATTTTAAATTCATATTTTATTTATATATTATATGATATTTTTAAAAAAAAATAAAAGTAATAGGTTGGGAAATTCGATAATGTACGGTTATGGTACATGTTTGTCGTTTCTAGAATAAAATTTAATAGCCTGCCATATTTATATAATTTAATATAACATCTGTATTATATATTTTGACATCCCACACCTGTTGGACTATCCTAAGTTTGCTAGGGTAGAACAGTCCAAGTTAAATTCAAATAGTAAAAATTATATTCATATAATATTATTAAAATATAGAGTTATATGCTACGAATTAAAGCGATATATTTTAAATTTGACTAAATAAATGGTCATTAACCATCGAAACGAAATAATTTATTAGCTTAATGCAAATTTTTAAATTTGAAATATTTGAAAAAAATGTCTTTCTTTTTTCGCACAATTATATAAGAAATAAAATTATATAGATTGAAAATTAATACAAGTTTTTTCTTCTTATACATTTTTTATGATTTAAGTTTTAAATTTAGGACATTATCTATTGTTTAGCACTATTTAAAGACAATAATTTAAATTTCAAATATTAATTTATAATTTAAGGATTATAAATTAATGCATGTGTTAATTTTTAAATATATTATAACAAATATAAAAGAACTATTTTGTTTTCACGAATTTATAACATATAGATAGAATTATAATATTGTTTATCACTCAAACTGGAACGGTTTATAAGAATGAGTGAAAAATGGGTCTAAAAATGGCTAAACTTAGATAATTTTTTAAAAATAATTTTATATATCGACCAATAAATTAGTTATATTGCATTAGAAAAATCTATAAAATGGTTCTATTTAAAATTTTATTTTATTTTTGGGAGTTAAAAACAAGAGAAATTCGGACTGTTCTGAACAAAGCAGTTTACCCTATATACAGGTTAACTAAATTTAAATAAATTGTTTTAAACTTATTTTGAATTTGTTTCTTATCATATTATTCATAACTGTTATAATTGTTTGATAAATTTAAAAAGTTAATCTTTATTAAAATTATCTATTTCTCTATAAACTAATTTAGTTGATAACTATGATAATTTTTACTTTATTCTGAAAGTACAGATTGAGAATGATATAACTTAATATAAAGAAACGAGCAATTATTTGTTGTGACATCATTACAAATGCTTGATTGCAATTTTTAATCATATTTCTAATAATTTTTTAAATTTAAACAATATGCTCTTTATCTCAAATTAGTAGTGTCTTGTCCCTGTACATTATACTTTTTCATTGGCAATGAAGTCACGCCAGTCATCTAACTCCTTTCAGGGGAAATTTTTGAATTGAAATAACACGACTTTCAGTTTGCATCGGATGTTCGTACACAATTAATTGGGGCGTCCTGTCCCTAATCTTTCTACATCTGGTTTGACTTTTAAGTATCTAACTCCTTTCTCGAGAGTAAGGAAGGACAGACAGATGGACAGACGGATGGACGACGTAGGTCTACAATTTTTTCAAATTGCAACCCAATAAGTAGATAGATCTATTAGTAAAACGTATGAGTTAAGTAATATTTTTCTCTTCAATAATATTTCTATAATAGAATTTTCAATAATAAAATATTGAAGAATAAAAATTCAATATACTGTAGTTTACTATATATATTCAACATCATCGATCATACATTTTTATATTATAAAAATTTTAAATTAATGATATTATATTGAAAAGAAATAGTCATCATATTACACTCCCTAGGACATTTTATATATTTAATCTAATAATCTATCATTGAAAAATGATTAATTATATTACATGAGATTCTCACTTTGATTATTTTGATTATTGGATACAAATGACCTAACTGCTTGAAAATCGCAGTTACATCATTAATATCTTTCGTAAAACATATAAATCTGTCTATATTCTTTGCAATATATATACTTTTTTGTTTAAAAAAAATGATTTAAATACTGTTATAAATTATGTAACAGGAAGATAATAGAACTCACTACTATAAGTAACTTAATATAATTTTCTTAAAATATAAATTACGAGATGTTTCGACTTATTGTTCGTATCTTTTTCAAAATTTTTTATCCAAGATTAAAGTTGACGACGATTGAAGTTTTATTTGTAATTTATCGATTTTATCAATAGAGTAAAAATTAAAAGAATGTATGAATAGATATTGTAAACTTAATTAATTATTGTTAATTAATGGCACTATAGTCTGGAGAAATGGAATATTATTTAAAGTTTAATCTAAAATATATGAAATAAATTTTTTAAAATTTAAAAATAAAATGTGTCTTAATGAATTTATACATTTAATAAACTAAATTGTAAGTAAACTTTCAGAGTTAATAGGAAAACTAATGGTCTTTCCTCTTGTCAATTACTAAGTTTTTCCTCTTTTATAAAATTATTTAAAGTATAATTTAATTTAAAAAATAATGTGTACGTGTATGTGAATTAAAATAAATTGAAGCTTAAATAACTACAATATATTTTCTTAAATTTACAATTAGAATAGATAGATTTTAAATTATCTTCATACATAATTAAACTTCATTTTGAAATATTAATTATTACAGATTAGCTATAAAATATATTTCTCAATTGCAATCCGTCCTTTCTACTCCACCTCCAAACAATTCTAATACACCTTACGATCTTTCCATGTATTCACCGCAAGTGTGGGCAGCTGCACCTAATTATTACAATTGGATTAAACAGGTTAATGATTTATAATCTATATTTTATCTAATTAGTTAATTTAATTTTAAAATAATAATATTTACAATTGTCTAGAACTAATGCAATCAATTTATTATAAATGTAAGCCTATATAATGTAATTTCTTAATAATTTCATCTGTAAAGTTAATTATAAAATAATTTTTTGTTACAGAAAATACTTTTTTTTACAATTTTTATAAAAGATTAATT